TTGATCTGAAACAGAAAATCTGCCAGTGGATGATGGTTTCTAGACATATGTTTTGTTAGAGGCTGGATGGGTCACCCTGCCTTTTACTGTGGTTGCTTGATATTTCCCATGATATGATCTTCCTTTGAGTAACTTTCAACTTTGCCAAACACCATAGAAATTTTCTATGTTGGGTGCACACTGCATGATGAATTATATATATGCACATTTTTACGCAGAAAATAAACTACCACTTCTAAGAAGGAATATGGAGAAAAACATGGTGTTCTTCCCATGCTAAAAATTTCAGCTGACCTTTTCTTTGGAAAAACATAGGTCATCTCTCCCCTATCTTGAAATCTGACAGCTTTTATTAATTTGTGGCTTTTCTTCAAGGTTGCGCCTTTTATCATCCCTTTGAGATGGTCCCCAAACTTGATATCATGCAAGTCATTGAAAAATTACGGCTCTCAAGAGCTCTGTAGGAGTATTTTAAGGCTGTGTGGGCTACAAAGCCATCATCTCTTGTATTCTCAGTGTTTGACCCACTGAATCATGACTTCTTCCCTGGGCTGTGAAACAAGAAAGTCCCTCTACCTTAGGACATTCCACAGCTTTGGAATGAGGACACTAGCATGAGAGGTAGGAGAATAGAGGGTGTAAATCCTATTAAGGAAAGTAAAGCACAGGCACCTATACGCATATATATACACATAAGAAAGTAGGCACTTCTTTTACAGCTAAATTTTGAAATTAACTATGGCATTTTGGGTGAAGTCAGATGCTGTTGTTCATGGCAGAATATATGCACAACACTTTTGTGACTGAGCCTCTTAGAGGATGTGGGGATGGAAAACATTTCTAGTTTCTGTTCTAGTGTAAGAGTCAGATACATGACGAACTTTTCGGAACTGCTGCCGTGTGGCAGTTTTGGGATAGCAGATGCAACTCCTGGCACTTAGGAAACTTTAGAATAAAAAAACCCTACATATGGAGTTTAGAGATTGTGCTTAGGCTCTGCCTAACTTTTCCTTCAAAAGATAGTCTTTCTTTGGATTGTAAATTTTCTGAAGATTCTCTCTGCATGGAGTTGACCCCAGGCAGCTTTTCCATCTTGTAGGCCTTTCTACTGCTCAGTCCTCTGTGACACAGAGCCACCAACTCCACTCTTCCACCAAAGCCATCTTCAGTGGAAGACTAATAGTTTTTTATCCTGCAGGAATGTGTTCCCAAGGTCATGAACATTCCTCTATCTCAGCAGTAGACTGAGCCAAGATCTCAAAGGGCAACTACTTCATGACCAGGCATCTACCCCAGATGATCCACCCCAGGGTCTTCCTAATATGTATGATGGATTTCTACCATCAGCTCAAAAAGTGCCAGAGACTTGTTTGTAAGCACTACAAGAAGGGCTACCAAGAACTTGTCTAGATAAGAGTTATCATAATAGAACTGGATTATCTTAATGGGCTGCTGCAGCTGTTGTGAAAATGGACACTGTGGATCCTGCAGTGAGAAATATGATGGCAAAGTTCATGAATAATTCAATCTTTATGGCAAAGTTTTGAATGACATACAGTAAGTGCACTCTGAAAGCATACAGTGACCAGTGCAGATAAAATTATATAGTAAGTACTTGCTATTTAGATTGATAACTTCCTACTTGAGTGACAAAATATTTCTGCTGAAAAAACAGCACATAATCACATAAGAAAAGGTAGAGCAAAACCAGTCTAATTTATTGCTTTTCCTAACTTCGGTTATTTGACCTTGCAACTTCAAAGCTGTTTCTTAAATATTATTTAATTCTCTTAGTTTTCAAACATTGTTTTATGCTTCTTTTGTCTTCTGTTGTTCCCACTTCCTAGGTATGGGTTTCCTTGCTCCATTGCAGTGCTGAGTCTTCTTGGAGTGAGTACTGTCTTTTAAATAAGTGTCTGTGTGGCATTTAGCACAGTGGGCAACTGAATCTGATCCCAAACACATAATTTATGTACCTTGTTTGGGTCACCTCACATCTGCTCATGTGTTTTGTCTGGCCAAATGCATACGTAGTTTCTGTGCAGTTAGAGATCGATTTGAAAATCAGCCAAAGGGCTAGACAGCACATCAGATATGATAGATCGAGAGTTCAAAGAAGGCCATAACCCAGAATTGCTGATGATGATCCACTTTTGGAAACCTGATCCGTTCATTGCTCCATGAAAGACTGTTGCTTGTCAGAGGCTAAAGGTATAGTAAATTTGTTTACTGGGAAGGATCGGGGAAAAAAAAAGGAAACCAATGTATTGTGTCTCATATTGACAGAAGGGAGTTTACTTAGTGAAAATGAATCGCAGTATAAGGAAACTACCAACATGTTTCACTGCATGTCACAGTGAATAAAGTATACAAATAGGCCTGTGGCTGAGAAAATAAACAAACAAAATTTACTGAGAGTAGTAACTATGAAGGCTTTGGCCTGGGATGTGAGAATTTCTTACATGTTTGTTAGAAACTGCATCTATAGCAATAGCCAAATTCAAAAATAAGGCAGGAGAGGAGAGAAAACCAGAACCAGAGTTAGCTAGCAAAAGGACTGAAATTTGAGATAAAGTAGTACTATTTTCCAAAATACATTATTTTGAGAACTCTTTTGGTCTCAGACAACATTCGAATTCATGTTAGTAATGAAAGGAAGATAAAAGACACAATAATGTTTGCAGTGGTTTACCACTGCAAGATATGTTAAGAAGATGCTGGTAAGCATTAATGTTTGCATACAGTATCTGTTCATAGCAGAAGGTCAGGGAAGAGAACATCAACCAAGGAATGACTGAGTGAACAGCATTTCAAGGAGAGAAGTGAAGATGCAAGACATGTAGGTTTGGGACTACAGGGAGAAGTGATCACAAACAGATGATAATTTTGATCCAGCACCCACTGAAGTCAGTGGAAATGTTACTATTGCCTGGTCCTTGGCCTGGGGTATAATAAATGTGATCAGCAGGAGCTGCAAGCCTAATGCACAATGAAAGACAGACAATGGTGAACAAGAGTTGAGAAAACACTAGCAGCTCCATGAGAAGTTTCATTATTGGTATGTACTGCTGTCAAAGTAAGGCAAGGATTTTACCCATGCACTATCCTTGCACTTTCCACCCACATGGAGATCAGTTTAGGCGTATAGCTCTTCTAGTTACTACTGACACACACTGCCTATGAGCACACATATGAGTTCTTGGAGGCTTTTTTGGCTTTCACATTGTGATGTGGTTGTGATTTTTAACAGCAAGTGCGATGCACTTCAGCATGACAGGAGACTGACATCTGACTATGAAGTGATGATGTGGATATTTTCCTGATGATTATTTAATCAAACAGGAGAACTGAGAGTGTCAAACAAGCACCAGCAATTTATCAAGAGCCAGTTGTAGAAGAAAGCATTCTCTGAATCATCAGTATGATAATTACCACTGACATTTCCCCAGGGGAAACTGCATTTTTAATTGTTACAAATATAATCACACTTCTACAGAGAAGTGGGAACAGAATCCTTTCAAGGCCATTTCTGGAAATAGATATGTCTAAAATTTCCATGTGGAAAAAATTTGTGATAAGAAATTATTTGGTACACCAGAATAAATACGTCATTGTAAATGTTAACTAAAATACCGGCTACTGTACTCTAATTTCCAGAAGAAAATACATTTAATAAGAATCTTTGGGTCAAGTCCTGACCCTGCTGCAACTGCAGCTTCCTTAGCTGGGCTGAAGTTGTCTTGAGTTTTGACAGTGAGGAGAGGAAAGTCTATGTGATCGTGCAAGGTGAGCAAGAGCTATCTCCAGCTCCACCACCCCTACTTGTGGGCACAGAGAAGGTAACCTTCATGGTAACCTAAGGGAGGACTTCTGGAATAAAACGCCTCTCAGGGCAAAACGTGACTCGACTTACCCACTCACAGTGAGCAGGCTGTAAGCAGCACCTCTCAGGCTGGTCCAGAACACATAGCCAAAGGGACCACTAGGGCTGGTTCTCTCTCACAGCAGGCCTTACATGACCACTCACATGCAACCACTCTAAGGTGGTTTTTTTCAAGGGGCAGACGAGAGCAAATCAGATAGTTTTTGCCTCCCCTCAGCTCCCTATTGCAAACAAAAGCCCTTAGTTACTCATATTCCCCATTTCAATTTTTCAGGTGCCTAAACTGTGAGACAGGGTGCTAGGAAATGTCTAAATTTCCTGACAGGATGCTAGGAGAATGAAGGTCTTCAGCATAGACACTACCTTTTTGGGTTATAAGGCTGGCTATCACTTGTAGCCTACTGAAATGAATCGAACCTTTAAAGTATTTGGCCACTACTTGCCAACTACAGCATTGTCTTTATTATATAAGGTAGCAGTGCTGGCCTGAGGAAAAGAGAGGTAAGTTTTGTGAGAATAGTCTTTTAAGTGGACCAGCTGACGTGGCTGGAAAAAAATTGAATTTTTGTCAGAGCAGCAAAGCCTTTGTTCTGCCAGCTGAAGTAATTTACAAAAATCTCTTAAATTAAAGATTATAACAGATGTTTTAGGTTCTCTGCAGGCACAGAACAACAATACTGGGTAGGGGAAGGCTATTTAGTCCCTCCCTAGTAGTGTGTACTCTGTCATACGACATCAGCACCGTCTTGGACTGTCCAGCCCTTCCATTTCCCCTTCCACTTATTCAGGTGCTGTGCCTATCCCTGTAGCATGCAGGTCACAGACAGGCTGTTTTAACTAAACTCTGATTTATAGAAAGTTGCAGCCTTGCTGTTCAGAGTTGTTGATTTAGCTGAACATAAGCAGATAATACAATCTGGTGAGTGATCTACACAATTTAGGATTTCAGCCTGCAAACTTATGAGGAAAAAAACCCAACTAAAACTGTTCAGATAAGAACTATTTGGTTCTACTCCTTTTTCATTAAGGACCTTAGCCCTTCTTCAATTGAAATCAATGGAAATTCAACTCCAGGTTAAGCAGACACTACTCAGTTACACGGACAGAGCTGTGCCAATTTAGCTTGGGTTGCGTTTATTCTATTAGATTGCCCTTCATAGCTGAATCCAAAAGGGATGTTTTTTCCTGTGGAAAAAAAGAGAATACACAGAGAAGAGAATCAAACTGTAACAAAATGTGAAAATATACTATCCAATCACTTCCTTAACTGAACAGTTAACTAATTACAGTAAGATTTTTCTAAAGTTTTATATTATTGAACATGATAAAAAAAAATTGAAAGAGTGCTAAATTTGCACATATTTTTACTCTGAATGTGCATACAGTTGGAGATGCATGTGCAAATAATTGATTTGCTATGTTTTTGCATATCCACTTTTTGCATGCAACTATCTTGGACACTGTACACAAAATTCAGGTTGTTTAGGAAAAAATCCCCAACCAGCCCAAACCCACAACCAACCCCCCCAAAACCCCAAATCAAATAAACAAAACACCCTCCTCCCCCCGACCCAAATCACATATCTCTTTTTATGGAGCTGTGTATGAATAGAACTTAACCTTCTTTCAGATCGGTTTTATGACATTGACTACCACCAGAGTCCCTTGAATGATGGGTTCTACCATCATTCAAGGCCGTTCCACCCTCTTTCCCCCACCCACCATCTCACTCATTGCTGTGAAGCCATATGGAGCTTTCTAACTCCAACTTTACCTTTTGTGACCTTGTGTTTGCTGCGGGTCTGACAGCAGGCATTGGCTTATGCTAGCAGTAACTGGGGTTTCCAGTCCAAGCACTTCACAGATCTGAGTCTTAGCTGTCAAGATGAAACATGACCAGGTGAATTCATCTTGTTATGGTCAAATCCTTCTGCTTACCTTAACCCGTATGGAAAAGTTACAGCTTGCAGGATAGGTATTCGAAGTGAGGCCAGTATTTCAAAGGGTTCACTGCATGCAAAGGTATACAGATGGTGTTAAATCTCTGCAGTAATGCATGCTATTTGCATTTCACAGACTAGTAAAAGAATAGAGTACTTTCAAGTATAAAAATAATTTTACAATGTCAAAGTGTTGCAGAGAAAAATTATTTAAAAAAATCCCCAAACCCTGAAGAATTTGTCAGGAATTTGCTCACTTCAGACTTAGAATATATTCCCGTTTTATACAACCACTTTTTCCTCCATGTCTCAAGATCTTGCTTCCAGTGTAAAGTTGGAGATCTATGAGATCATTCTCCTATGGAAAAAAAAATATAAAAATTCACTAAGCGCTTCATGATGTCAGTTAATTTGACTGATCGCTCTTGATGTGATTTGGCACATCAGAGCAGTGTGATTCATGAGCTAAGAGGGAAGGACTTCTCAGCAATTTGTCCCCAGCTTATAATGTGACATCAGTGCTTCTTGAAAGCTAATTCCACATACAATAGGCATTCCATTTTCTAAAGATACATCTTCATTTATATTGTTCCACCTAATATTCCTTACTAAGCCTTTAGATTTTGGTCTGCTTAAGATTAAAACTTTTTTTTTTTAATTATGGGCATTTGTCTCTCATCAGAGAAGATAAGCGTACCTTAGGAGAGACATGAGAGAAAGATTTGTGAGACCTAACAGATTTGTACAAGAGAATCATGACAGGTATTTCATAATGGAAAGATCCTCAGAAAGATAATTCTTTATCATACCGATGAGTTTGCTACCTTAGCAGATGTTCACCTTTTAAATAAAAATAAGCTTTTAAGAGATCCTCTGAAATGTCACAGCTATCCCCATTACTGAAAGATATCTTGATTTACACTATTACAGTTGTTGAAACATTCTGAAGCAATAGGTTCTGAAAGCCGTACTTTACCTGCCCCGCAAGACATTTAATTAATTCCATACTTTCATTGTAGACACTGCAATTAAAATAATTCTTGACTACCTCATGGAATTTTAAACATTTTGAAGAAATGAATTCAGTACAAGATAGTGTGTGTACAGTTCTGCAACTTGGTCTCCCAGCTGTCCAATAAATTGCTGGGAGAAACAATTAGTGTAGAGTAATTTGTTAGAGAATGAACCAAAAATGTATCTAAAAATGCCAGTACTAAATGTGCTGACAATTAAGAGCAAATTACTTAGCAAAGATGCCATGTGTTCATATGTTGCTTCAACTACATGCATTTGGTGTCTAGCACCACATTTTTGCTTAGGACATAATTACACATTTTGTTCAATTTTGTATCTGTACTGGAATAAGGTGATATGATGCCAACACTTTTTAGGCAGGACTCCCCAGTGATTCGAGTTATCACAGTACCTTTTCATTCCAAGGGCAAAAGTGTTTTCAATTAAATGGGAGGCAGGTTTACTAATTCATTTTGATTATTTTTCCCTTGCCCCACAGAAAGTTTTATAGGGCAACAGAATGAGAAACAGAAATGACTTAATGTGGAATTGATGTTACATGAAAAGATCTCTCAGCGGAAACCGTAAGACTGTCATTGCCCTATCAACTAAAAACTAGATGAGATAAAGCATTTAGTAACCTTTTGCAGAAGACATTGCTGCATTCACTGGGAGTTTTAGGATGACCTACAGGCTTTCAAAGTGGGTCCAGAAGATGCCTACAAAGATGATTAAGGGACTGGAGCATCTCTCTTACGAGGAAAGGCTGAGGGAGCTGGGCCTGTTCAGCCTTGAGAAGAGATGACTGAGAGGGGACCTTACCTATGTATATAGGTATCTGAAGGAAGGGTGTCAAGAGGATGGGGCCAAGCAATAGGACAAGAGTTAACAGGTAGAAACTGATGTACAGGAAGTTCTACCGGAATATGAGGAAGAACTTCTTTACTGTGAGGTTTACCATGCACTGGAATAGATTGCCCAGAGAGGTTGTGGAGTCTCCCTCATGGGTGATATTCAAGAACCGCCTGGAAGCAATCCCATGACATATGTTCCAGGATGACCCTGCTTGAGCACGGAGGCTGGACCAGGTGACCCGCTGGATCCCTTCCAGCCTTACCCATTCTGTGATTCTCTGTGATTCTATTTTAGATAACAATAAATGAAAACTACTGTATCATGCACATAAGACTGTGGTGAATTACTAGCACTTCACAGTTCAAAAAACAGGGAAGAGGTCTATTTTAGCACTTACAGCAGAGAACCAACTTCTCTTTGACAATCATTTTGTTATACTTTCTAAGCGCTTGGTGTTTTTTTAAAAGTAAATAAGGACAGTGGACTGGGAATTTGTTAAAAAGGATCCAGGAGAACACACACTTCCAGCCCTGCTGACAAATCTCTAAGGTTTATTACTTCAAGTTGTGTCCAGATAAAAACATTCATATTGTTCATATTGAATAAGTATACTGTCTGTAGGTTAATAATAATTTGTAAACATCATGCATTTATAGAGAACATCAAGAATATTCTTACCTGCTCCTATTAATTAATTCCATAATGGTAGGTCATACCATATCTTCAGATGAGATCGATTGGTAACATAACCCATAAGAAAACTAAACCAGTTCATCACTGAATAAATTAATTTTCTCCTGCTTACAGTTTTTCATTTCACTTTTTAGAAACTTCCAAAGTTTTTACCACCTTAAAAGAAAATTAAGCACTGTTTTCCTTACCTCTATAGAATCTGGTCTTTCCAGAAATCTTGGCAGAATAAGGAATAATGTCTCGTAGATATGTTGTTTCACTCAGGTCCTCTTTCGTAATAGGCTTGTATTTTGGACAGTCAAACAGTGGGGAAATGGGATAACTAAACTTCCTCTATCTGTGCAAAAGTTTTTCTGGGTAAAATATTGGCAATTTTAAAATCAAAGAATAGAGTCAGCCTTAGTCTCCAAATGACATAAATTTTTCTGTCCTCTTAATCCACTCCAACCCACGCTGTAATCCATTTTTCTGCAAAGAAAGTAGTCTTACCTAAGTTCTTTATTCCCCATATAATGGGAACTTCTTAGACTTCTTGATTTCTAACTTGCTACCCTTCCCCCTTCAACTTACTATCTTCAACAGGACCCGCCTTTCTTGGATTTTCTCTTATTGCTCTTTCATTATCTCCTTTGATAAGTTCTTATTTTTCCATTTCTCTTTCTCCAAGGACATAAGCATGTTCAGAGACACTAGCATTCCTGAACCTTTGGCTGCAATTGTATGTGTGGATGATTTCTGACTCTAGAAGTTCCCTTTCTCCAAGCAGTCTTATGACTGCTCCAGGTCTTTAAACCCTTGCTTATTCTGAAATCTCCCTTTCTTACTAATTGTTTCCAGAGCTACCTGGTTTTCACCCTCTCCTGTCCTAGTTAATTTTGTATTCAGCCTCGCTAGTCTTTTCTCTTTTCTCTTTTCTCTTTTCTCTTTTCTCTTTTCTCTTTTCTCTTTTCTCTTTTCTCTTTTCTCTTTTCTCTTTTCTCTTTTCTCTTTTCTCTTTTCTCTTTTCTCTTTTCTCTTTTCTCTTTTCTCCTTTTCTTCTTTTTAAAATATTGCAATGCAATCTATTATCTTCTTCCAGTAATCTTCAGCAGACAAATAATTTCTTCTTTCTCGTTTTCCTTTCAATTCCTAAGTCCACTTCAAACTCCTCATTAATGTTTGCAGAGACCCTATCCCCATCTTTAGTCATGTTTCATCTCACACTCTTCTTTTCTCAACTTTTCCCATTGTAGTTCCCAGCAGGGAAGGACTTGACCAAGACTTTTTTATCTTTCTTACTTTGTGAACACAAGTATTATAACACATTTTCCAGTGGAGGGAACAGCGTACTCTTGCCAGACTCCTCATTCTCTCCTCTCATTCAAGTTATTTTTTTTTCTTTAAGGATCATTTATTTCTTCTGGGCCAGCAGTCTGTCAATTCTGTCTTCCCTGGGCTACTGTCTTAGAATTTTTGTCTCTCTTTATTGTATTACATTTTGAAAATAGTATTATAATTCTTTCAACAACAGCAAGTTTCTGTGCCATCTTATTATTAGGACAAATATGTAATGCCAGTATATTAATACACATGTCAAAATAAATGCATTTTGGCAAGGCTATATTCAAATCTCATCGAAATTTGCCAATAATTTCTTTTTCCTTTAAAATATATTTTTCTATGATGGCTAACCAATAAATATTTTCTCTTGCTGAAAATTGTCTATGCATAAGTTTCCTCAGTTTATTGAAGAAAATATTAAAAGCTGTTTTGATTGTGATTTATAAATGGATATAGGTATTTTAATGAGTGAGTTCTTCAGACTATCAGATATGGTGGTGTTCAACATCTAGAAGCTTAATATATACAAATTAAGATGGGAAGTAAGATTCAGTCTTTTAAGAGTGAGAGTAACTAGCCTTTGGAATAACTTTAATCAGTATATGATGAATGCTTCTCTATTTTAAGCCTTTCAATCAACATTGGATATGTTACCGAAATATACATAGCCCAGTTCAGGCAGAAGTTCTGAGTTTAATGCAGGGATTTCTGGATGAGTTTCCACAACTGGCCAGTCAAGATGACTGTTATCCTTAAAGTCTATAGGCAAAGGCCTAGCCCCTTTCAAGTAAACGAAAATATTCTTGATTTCAGTGGGGTCAAGTGTTTACGTATGAAAAATAGAACGAGCCATGGGCAGATAACACTCAGATCTTCCTCTGCTCTTTGGTCCTCATGGGGCTGTGGTGGATCCCACATGCCAAAATGTCCTAAGACAGCCTCACTCCAACAGCAATCTCTCATGGTTCTTACTTGCACTGGTTTATTAAGTGAAATGATGACTGTAAATGTTTTAAGTTGCACACCCTATTTTCTTGCTTTGCAGAATAGGAATAGGGTTTGATGCGTGTTTTAAGATAAGCAAGTACTTTACAGAGCTGAGGTAAAACATATTACACTCTCAGCTGGTTAACAAGGTTAACAAGCTTGTTAATAAAGGAGAGGAGAGGCTATTTTTATTTTGTTTGT